GACTTTACAAAACACTCTCAGAATACTGTAATACAATTAGGAAATTTCCTTCTGTTCAGGAGTTATTTCCCTTTGATTAAAATTTTAATGCCTCTGGTTTCCAGACAAAGGCTCTGAGACTGTAATAATTGGAGCACAAAACCCTTTGAAATTGAAAAGAAGAAGCATTGAAGCTGTGCACATCGGTTTTTGTTTTTTTGATTTTTGCATTAAAAATGGCGCTAGAGAGGGGTCAAAAGTTAGAACGCGGAAGAGAGCAAAAATTTTGACATATTTTCCTTTGTATCTTTAAAACTAAAAATATTTTGTTAAAACATGTAGAATAAAAGTTGTGCATAATAGCAAAAGCTTTCATTTGATATCATTTAAAAGGGGCTGGCCCCTAGAATTAGGGATCCAGAGCCCTTGAAAGTTTTTGCTTAATAACTCAAAAACGGTAAATATTTCGATGTGGCTTTCGGAATTAAAGTTGTTCTTTAACACCTTATTGATCTCATACAAATGTTGTTTTGGCTCTTTATTAGTAAACCACGTGGACCATAGATTTCCCCCTTTTTTTCTTCCTCTCTTCTTGCAACCCCAAAGTAGTTTTACAGCGCAAAGAATTATTACCAAAACTTTCACTTGGTTTATTCATCCAAATTATATTAAGCACTGAGCCACCATCCTCACAATGTCAGGGCTGCGTTCAAGATCGTAGTGGCTATCCTAGCAGCTAAATGTAAGTGGTAGATATCTAACTCTATTGAACGGACGGGTAGCCAGTTGCCACTAAGTGTTAAATCTATGATAAAAAATATATCAGTAAAGACTTATTTCTGGAACAAAACGAGTTTTAAAATATATGTGAATTTACATTTAATTCGCTAAGGCGTAGAAAACAACCCCCATTTTTGTTAAAATTTTGAATGAACTAAGGAGGCCATCTTGGATTTGGGACTTTGCATCAAATATTTATGCTAGCTCTCCCTACGTAGCGGCTAGGCTAGCACATCGTTCAAGATCGTTGCCTTACGTAGAGGATACATAGCCGCTACGCTCTTGAACGCAACCCAGGGGTCTTGTGTCAACTCGTTGCCCACGGCAACAAGCTGACACAGGACCTCTTACGTTGTAAAGATGTAGAACCGTCTGCTTGTGGCATTAAGGCAGATCTGATCATACCCTTTGTTGCTCAGTTTAAAGTATAAATGATGATGTACAGTTGTACATGTATAATACTTTTATTTATCATTTAAAGCAATATGAGCTGCATTTCTGAGAATTTTATTTTCCTATTAAGAAATGTGCTGGTATGATAAATCTGTATGTAACTTAATTTTTTATGATCAATTAGACCAAAATAAAGTACATGTACTATATTGTTTCAGAAGAATAATTTATGTACACTATGTATGTATAGTATTACATAAGAAATCAATATTGTACAGGATGACAATAAAGTAATTTTGCTTCTATCAAAAATTAATTCTTCTACTGCAAATATGAAATACAAAGTTTAATTTTATAAACTTTTTTTTTCTCTGTCATTGTAATAGTTAACTACAATTTTGTTACAAAAAATATTTGCAGCCCATTTTGCTTTAAGTTAATGTACATACACACTACCAGCAAGAAAAGGCCTGCTACAAAGTGAAAAGTCAAATATTTTCTAGCAATGCAGATTATCTACTTTAATTGATAAGATTTTTTTTCAGGAGAAATAATTAAAATTTTAAGCAGGCGTTAAGAGTATTTCTTAAAGTCTAAGTTCAAAATACAATTAAGATGAAATACTAGCTTATTCAGAGGTACAGTCATTTAGGATATTCCGAATCACCCCGAGTTTTGCAACTCTCGGGACTTTACGTTATCGCTGTACTTTATACCACAACTTCACACGTGTGACAACAACGCAGTCAGCATCAGCAAGGTACATAAAATCGTAATTATCATGCATTAATCAATTAATTAATTATTTAATTGACGAACTCGCTACATCTTTTTGGAAGAAACGCCCTTGTAGAAAACGTTGCATGACATTTTGCAGCGCTTTAGAAGCGGCTTTTTTGGCTGATACATGTCATATTGGGTATTGAAAGAACGACAATTTTATAAGCATTTAATGTTTTTGAAACACTTCAAAGTTATAAAAGATATGACAACATTTGCAACCCCCTACAGTTTAAGGTATTTCGAATCACGTGTGTACATAAACGTGCACTCAGCACACACAAACACAGACTGATGCACAGTAGTTTGTAGTGTCATATGCCAAGAAAATAAAGTAAATAATAACTAATACAGACTAGTCTGGGTTTATACGTGCCTTTTTCAAAAAAAGAAATTGTATTTCATTTACATGTATCACATGTATAAAAAAAATAAGTTCTGTAACATGTACGTATGTCCCTGACAAGAGCGCACTTAGGTAGATATGGAATGGGGGGGGGGGGGGCTATTTTTTATTACCTCTACTGGTCAGAGACCAGAAGAGCTTATGCGATAGTAAATTGTCCGTCCGCCTGTCTGTCTAGCTGTCTGTCTGTCCGTCTGTCTGTAAACAATTTTTCAAAACGCTACTCCTCATACAGTTTTGGTCTGATTTCAATATAACTTGGCACACAAGTAGACTACACTAAAATACATAATTTAATGCATCTGTTTTTTGATTTCGATGGACGGTGATGCCATTTTGACTAAAAATAGAAATTTTTGTGAAATTTCTTTAAAACGCTACTCCTCCTACAGTTTTGGTCTGATTTCAGTATAACTTGGCACACAAGTAGACTGTACAATGATACATAATTTAGTGCATCGGTTTTTGATTTCAATGAATGGTGTTGCCATGGTTACTAAAAATAGAAATTCCTGTGAAATTCCTTTAAAACGCTACTCCTACAGTTTTTGTCTGATTTCAATATAACTTAGCACACTAGTAGACTGCACTATCATACATAATTTAATGCATCTTCTTCTTTTTTATTTCGATGAACGGTGTTGCCATGGTTATTTTCTCTGCATCTACATTTAGGATCGAATCACATTCCTTTGCCATGGCATATAAACGTTTCCGAAAACATCTCTCATATCGATGCCTGGAGTCATATTTTTGTCCAAGTGAAGATGCTTATTAGGTCACAATTGGAAAAATATTGCCAATTCGAGGTGTCAAGGATGAATTACAATAAAGGATGTGTTACGGGATTACACTTTTACTGAGATAGATCAAGTGTTTCGAGAGACTGAGAATATGAGAAATTAAGCGTAAATTTGGTTAGTAATGCAGGAGAAAACGCCGGAACCGAAGACTCACTTCGAGAGATCAAATACTTTGAGAGATCAATGTTCGAGCCATAAATATAAAAATATAAATATTTTTTATTGAAGAAAAAATAATGTTGTTACTTTTTCTTTGCCAAACTTGCGGTCTTTCGGAATGACACCTTTAAAATAGAGGCCCAATGCCAGATAACAAAAGTGAGTTTAACAGTTTTAACATTTGAAATAAACTTTCTATATATATTGTGTAGGAGTCAATTCCCACTCTAAAATAATTTCATTTTCATCCAGGTTCGTTCCGAAATATAATTGTTCTGGACCAAGGTTAACTTTCCTTAACTAAAACAACTTGTTAAGTTTCAACAATTTATTATGACTATAAACATGCAATAATACTGAAAACTCATGTAATACCTGATTCAGGTGGAACATGTGTCAACCCTAGTCGTTGAGTAGATACACTACTGATAATTTAAAGGTTTGTCATGATTTGAATAGCCAGAAGAATAAAAGAATGGAAAGTGACCAATAGATACTTTTCATGTTTGACTGACAATTGACCACAGATAGCCAAAATATATCTCTCGATAAAGCTGTATTAAACTGAATACCTTTAATTCTATGGAATGCCAAAAGTGAAATCTACTACAATTGTAATACATTTAAAACTTTTATTATAGTCCGTCCTTATTTTAATTACCACACATCGAAATTCATTCTATTTAGATAGGAATGTTCGAGAGAGTTTAAAAAATTCTTTCAAAATGAGTACGCTTATTAATAATATTTGTTGTATTGACAATAAAATCAATAGGTTCAAATTATGAGCCGAAAGTTTACACAACCCTCTATTTTTTTTCTTTTTACAATCTTTTTTCTAATTTTTTTCTTTTAGATAGAATTAAGTTCTGTAATTCCAGACCGGTAATTATCTTAGCTATTGATATACCCATATAAGAGGCCCATGATGAGCCACCTGTTCACTTGAGCATTTTATCTTGTTTTACATTGAAAATAAGGGATTTTTAGATACGTCCTAAAATAGGTAGATTCTAGAGTGAAGTCGAAACATTAAAATTCAAGTCAAGTTCATCCCCACTGAACATGAACTCCACGTGAGGAAACGTAACATTCAAAAAGGGAAAAAAAATATCAGATGAAATAACGTGGCTTCTTAAGAAACAAACTGATTTTTTATAGTTTTAGGGCTCCCTGTTTGCATGAGCCCATGGTACGCGGTCGGAGAGTAAAACAAACGATAATGAACATATAATTTATGTAATGACAACTTTTATGAAGACGTAGATTTATAATGCTCTTCTATGAGACATATATCGGTTAACTTGATTTAAGTAAAGTAAACGAAATGACCACAATAATCCAGAATCGTATTCACTTCTGATCGAGATTCTTTTTTTATTTTGATCCAGTATACAGGTTGCAAGTAGTAGATATTTTTAAACATTTTACAGCTCTTATTGTTTGAACATCTGTATTTAAAAATAGCTATATAGAAAAATCATTCATTTCATTAGAGTATAGATATTGCAGAATTCCCCTTTCTGTCACTGAAACAATATGCAGAGTAACATATGTTATGAAAAGTGTCTGTGTCTATCTTTTACAGTTCCCCTTCCTTAGTACACATGATATTTGGTATAAATGCCTCATACTAGGACACTATTTTCAATGATTTAAAATGTTTCCATATGTAAATTAGCACAATAGAAAACAAAATCTTGAAATATAAGCGTATTTTAATTAATTTGGAGATTAACATCCGTTTTTGGTGTATTGATAGCGCCATATTGTATTTTTTCTATCCGAAGGTATTGCCTTGTGTTCGACCATCTTTTCTCTAGCACTTATATATCGAGTGTCAACTGACACAATACCAACATGTCCAGAGCCTTGTGGGAAAGGAAAGGCTATGACATCACCAATCTGTCTGTCGGTGAATTCAGGAACATGCTCATAACAACCTGTATCCAGTACGTATGCAGAATTTGAGTTTCCCCATTCGTTAGCCCCAATGGGAGAATATCGCCACGAGCTTCTGCAAAATTCATTTGTATCCAAAAAATTAAATGATTCTATAAATCGACAAAAAATCACTGCAAAATAAACTGAAATTTTTAAACAACCTCCTTGGGCGTTTGGCTCCAACGGAAGCTAAAACATCATCAACAAAGATGTTACACTTGTTTCTGTTGCAGAGATCTCGGTAACAGCTTTTTAAACTCCATCTTGTGCTGCTGATTTCTCTCTTTGCCGCACTCCATATTTGACTTTTGGAAACACACTGAGACTGCTATTAAATGTTTTAAAAAATGACAGAAATATGAATAGAGTTTAAAATATGAAATATTTTATTGTTTTTGATTTGTCTATTTTAAAATGATATTTTAATAAAAGAAATCTATATATTCTTTGTTCAGCAATAAAAAAATTTTATTTGAAAACATAACTTTGCATTTTGACTTCTAACTAAAATATATTTACATCCACTGAATATTATTTCCTTTAATTCTTATAAAAACCATTGCCGTAAATCAGTCAGTAAACAACACTAAGTAAGCCACCTGTATAGATTTCTTAAGCAACGGCTGTTCCATCAATTATGCATACAATGACATACACGTCTATAATACAATATTTAACATATTTGATTTGCTTTGAATGTTCTTTTTAAAAGATAACAATATAAGCAATAAAATGTCTTTCTTTGTTCGTTAGTACGGGAATCAACGTCGCAGCTATTGCAGAAAAAAAATCACATGTATTTTTTCTGCAACAGCTGCGACATTAATTCGCATACTAAAAATTATTGAATACAGAATTATGGTCCATGTCAATATATCAATACATAATTTGCATCATTATATATATATATAATGAATTGCGTCACAAAAGAAAAGTTGTACGTTACATAATCTTTTTGCATGTGAAAGTAGATGGTTTGAATATTATGTTGATTGATACCCATATTTCCCGACCATGTATAAAACCTTAATCTGTTTAGAACGAATTTCATATTTTTATGCATATTTCCATACCATCATTCATCTTTTCATGTATTTTTTATTTATCCATTGCACTTGATATATTTTACATAAAAAAGTAGATTACAAAGTGGCTGGAATATGCAAAATTAACCTTGTCCGATGTTTACATGCTATCCAGAAAAATTCAACGGTCACCGATAAATTACAGAAAACGAACCGTTTATATGGCTTTTATCTGTCACAGATGATTTAAAATATATTTTTGTTAACACACACACACACAAACACACATTTATATTTATATATAAAAGTAACTTACCATTATGCAGAGGGTGCTAAATATTAAACAAATTAGCAGGATACGGTCCATTCTAAATAAAGATAAATTAATCGAGAAATTGGAACATATCACTCGTGTATAAAATGATGCATATTTCACCTCCTGTGATGACGAGAGATAAGTGAATGTTTATATATCTTCCTATTAAATTTTATGAGATTCGTCCATTTTAATAATTATGTCAATACCTTAAGACATATATATTGACATCAAATATGTAGTATATATTCTGATGAAATCTTAACATTAACGAGGTTCGCTCCTGAGCTTTTGAGCAGATTTTTATCTTAACCTATATTTCAAAAATTCTCCATAATGTTTTAATTCTTACAATAAATTTGGATTCTACAATGCCAATTTAACTTTATTCAGTTAAAACTCCATGATTGAATTCCATACCAAAAGCATTAAGTGAGGAACTATATTTTGTGGCGGAAGGTTTTTTAGAAGAAAATGATCATTTTTTTCTCTTTCGAAGTATCTAAAGTATGTTAAGTTTGGATTCCTATTTTTACATTCAGTCTTTTAGTTATTTTTTGCAGTGGACTGTTTTATACTGGTCCTAAATTATCTATTAAATAATCTGTCATGAATTCTATCATCATATTTGATAAATATAGCAAATAAATTGTGAAAATGAAGAAAAAAAGCCCTAATTTAAGCTTACAATTAGCACTATTTTAGTAATATCGAAAAATTAGCATCACAGACCCCCACTTTTAATTTTCTTTTCTGAATATATACGATACTTTTTACCATTCTTCTTAAATTCAGTAAAATGTCATTACTTTCAAATGATTTTTTTGCTTGTTAAATTTTTAATGCCAGAAAAATGAAAATGTTTGAGTGAAAAGGGTCAAATAATTGAACATGCGCAGTAATTTGAAAATTTCTTCGTTGTCACAAATTTTAATGTGTCTATTTAAGATAAAATAAGACTGTTTTTGTTCCCATAATTTATTTGAACAAAAAATATTGAAGGAAAAACTCAAAAATTGATTTATGTGTAAGATGTATTATCAGTGCAAAAAGGTCAAACTAAATGCTCTGTAGCGCCAAAAGAAGCGCATTGACCCCCATTTTTTGTTTTGATTTTTAATAAAACTATGTGTATAAATTCTAAAAATATACTTGATAAAAAATTCTCATTACTTTTGATGACAGGATCCAACCTCCTTAAACAACCTTTGATGGGTTTCTTAAAAGTGAGATATGTGGAGATAACGAACAGTATTCGAGCTCAAAAGTGCCATTAAACATTACAAAATTGTTAGATATGAAAAGGCAAATACAAACTGTGAAAGAAACTCCTGGTTTTATTTAAATTAATATAAAAAAGAAATAAAAACAAATAAAATGTGAAGATTACGAAGATCATGCTCAAAAAGTAGGAAGGGGAAATAAGAATTCGACGCTGTAATTTTCTTAAGAAATGTTATTTTCATTCATATTTATTATAAATTAAACTCCTTACCCTTATTCTTATCACTTGCATACGGGGTTTATATCTTTCAGTTGTTTCGAGCATGTTCTAAGTATGATCAATTTCTAAATCAAGGTAAGTTATTGACAAACAAGTTGATGAAACAAAAATATCAACAGTCTCGTTTGGGGTCATCATTTTGTAAGTTCTATGGTCGATACAATGAGATCGTCAGGAAATATAATCTTTCATTAAGTAAAATGCAGACTGGCGTTTTTCATACTAATTGTTAGGCCATTGTTTACACACTGAATTGTCGACGGATTTTCCCGTTATTTCTCGATCATGACAAGGAGCACACGGCAGGTGTGACCGGTCGGTCGGGGATGCTCACTCCTCCATGGCACCTGATCCCATCTCTGATGTTTTAGAGGTCGATATCTGCTCTGCTTCTGATTTGTATTGTTTGAATGGGAGTCTGAGCTTGAATACTGTTCGTCATATATTTCATTTTAGGACTGGTGTGTTTAATAGATGCCAGTCTTTTTGAGGTCTAAAGGTGAATGAATATTGAGAGGGAACTAATTGACAACACATGCACTTGTTCTGTTTTTACAACAATTTATAAGCGTATTGGTTTTAAATAAATTGAGCCATACCAATATACATTATAGAGTATTTAAAAAAAAAGTAGTTCCTATGATGTATTCATGTTTACATTCACAGGCTTTAAGGCAATACCATATATAACCGTAAATGCTCCATTTTGCTTCTTTAACATAAATGAAATTTGCTGTGCATTTTGAAACAATGTGCTAATGAATAGTGAATTTTTTATAAAGCGGAATAGACATTTTTTGGACTCAAAAGAAACCCTCGTTAATGATTTTACAATCGTCATAGACTTGTAATTTATAAAACAATTTGAAAAAAAAAAAAAGAAAAAAAAGACTATATAGCACATTGTAACAGAACTACTTTATTTGATTTCATATCAGATTAAAAAGTTAAAATTTCTGCAAGGATTATTTTCCTTGAAAGAGAGAAAAAAAACTTCAAATTCACTAAAACATTAAACACCAGAAATCTTACCAACCGTCTGTTGATTATGTCTGTTTCTTAATTCCGTGAAATTTATGTTTCTATGTATCAGAAAGGTGCGATATTCTATAACAATTTAAAAATTTCTTACCTGCTTAGCTCTCTGCAATAGAACTGCGACTCAAACTCTCTTTATAAACTGTGAAGAAGAATTCATTAACCAAGAAGCATATAAATTCTGTATTTTTTAAACGTAATACTGTTATTTTTCTTGTCAAAAATTGGTTTTTCCAGTTAAATTTTAAAAAGATGTAAATACTTACGTGATAATATGTAAATGAAGTGTTTCTATTCGTCGACATTAAGCATTATATGCTCGTCTTTCTGTAAAGTAAATATAACTGTAATTTTATGCCGAAGATTATGTAATTCAAAATTATTTATTCTGTCGGTCGGCATTTATAAATATTTCTTTTAAATCCTTCTCATTTTAACAATAGTGTGCTTTGTTTTAATGTGGACCTCCCCCCCCCCCCCCAAAAAAAAAAAAATAAATAAAAAAAAAAAAAAAAAAAAAAAAAAAAAAAAAAACCACCAACGTTCTCTTATGTCGTAAAGTGTAATTATATGCTAAGGGTTTGATCATTGTTTATGCTATAGGTATGAAAAAAAAACAAAATCTTTTGATGAACTTGTAATTTGAATGATTAAAAACATAAGCAAAACAATTTGTTTTTCTTTTAAAAATTTACTACACGGCGTTTTCAGTTGAGGACTACACTTCACAGTTATTTGAAACATATATTACATTTTAACCCTTTCTCTACCGCTCCTTTTTTTTTTTTTAAAGTTTTCAATGACTAAAGTACAAATTATTTTACAATGATTTTAAAGTATATGACCCTGTTTAAGAGAAGGTATATGGCACATCATTTTGTTCGAAATTTAACAGAGAACAATTTTACAAAAGTTTATTTCAGGTATGTCTTGACCTTTATGAGGTATATGGGGTCAAAAGTCAAATAAGTGCGGATTTTTTCAATCTTTTTTTCTCCTGAATATAAATACAAAGACCCTTATCACTAGGTTCGAGTCCAAAATAGGAAATTCTAATTATATGTGCTGATGAGCCTACTGAGATACCACTGAAACATCATTATCACATTAATCAATTTAATTGATAAATGAATATTTTTGGTTGCTAAGTAACCATACCCATAGTACAATTTTAACTAAAATTCACATTTCTGCCCCCATACAGTACAATATCAACATAATTACAAAGCATTATGCTAAGCATATATCAAATCATTTGAAAAGATATTCCTCAGACATATTTTATTAAGTTTTTAGCAATAATTATCATTAATATTTTTAAGACAATAAAGGTCAAAGGTCATGAAGTGCAAAATTTGTGTTTCAGATTTTTGTCTCTTTTTTTCAAACAATTGCTCGCTTTTCCTTCCACTATGAGAAATTAAATAAAAAAATACAACAATGATATAAAGGCCTTTTACACTACTGTTTATTCAAAATAATTCAACTCTATTTTTAATAAATATTTTGGTTGCTAAGCAACAACACCAAGGGAAATTTTATACAAAAATACTTAAGGTACTATCCATGTGACACTGTAATGTTTCACTTCTTCCTTTAAAAAACAGTTCAAATTAATTATCTAAAAAGTTATTAAAATGAAATGTGTTTTTTAATAATGAATGTCACACTCATTTTACAAAGATGTCCAAATTTGATAAAAATTTAATAAAAACTCTGAAAATAGCATGATTGCTTACATATCAACAAATGTATGGCAATATACCTATATGTACATTTAATATAATCCATAATCAAGAAGTTGAACATTATTGTTGAGAAACTTTTATGCCATGACATCATGTCTCATGACAGTTTAATATTTATGTATGTACATATATTTGAATTCACTGGACATCAGAAATATGTACTTTAAAAATACATGTTTTTCATCGCTTTCTCTTTTTACATGACAAATCTGCACTCTTTCGAACATCTTCTCCTTCTTTACTATGCCATTTCTTAAAACAATTTCTGTCACTTGATAAACAAAGAGGAACTTGGCATGTTGGACAAAATACAAGTGTCTTATAACTAGGAGACTTCTTCGTTAAAAGTATTGCCTCAGCATTACAAAATATACAGTATTTTCTCTTATCTAAAAATTCAGGTATACGTTTAACAACACTTTCTTTTGATACACACTTTTCATTCAAACCATCAGTGACAAAGCAAGTGATTCACGGAATTCGGGTTGTCCAAACCCTGAAGAACAATTCGTAAATTGACTTTCATGCAATTTTCTAAATTCTTGAAAAAGAATATAAGAATTCAAAACCATTATATCTAGTAAATGAAAATACAGAACTTTCCACCAATGATATTGTGTTCTAATATAAGATGGATATTTATTTGTAAACTGGTTTGAAAGATCAACAGCTCCCACACATTTCTTGTAATCATTTGCTACTATAGGTTGTACAAGTTCTTTTTTGTTCCAAGTTAATCTAGATTTCATAGTGCGTTCACAAACAGTTGTAGCTGAACCCTGATGTAAAGGTGACATAAAAGTAACTACTTTACAGTCTTTCCACTCAACAAATACAGATTCATCAACTCTGTGCCATCTAAAGTCACCACGAGTTGCTACTCTTTCCCAAATTTTTACATCTCTAAGTTCATCAGGTATAGATAAGCTATTTGATTTCAGTACCCCAACAATTAAGGTAAAGTTTCCTTGCAAACAATTCTTTGCCAAGAGCTATAGATGTATAAAAACAATCAGTAAAAAGCCTATACCCTTGATCAAAAAGGGATTCACATAATCTAAGTGTTACATTGTATCCAGTACCTTTTGCACGATCAGTAAACATGGTGTTCTTTTTACCAAGATAAACAAAGAAGTCGTATGTATACCCAGACATGTTACAAGCTACAACCCAAAGCTTTATACCGAAGCAAATAGGCTTGTCTTTAATACACTGACGAATACCAGAGAACTTATGTTTTGAGGAAACCATTCTCTCATCTACAGCTATTTCCCCGTGTGACTGGTATAATTCCTTTGACTTTTCTTTAACATGGTCAACCAATGACTGTACACATGTCAACTTCTCAGCTGTTAAAAAACAAGAGGCCCAAGGGCCTTAACGGTCACCTGAGTATAATACAACAATTTAGAAGTTAAATACACTGATAGATGAAGCATTGTTGCCCTAGCCCCTCCCCCCCCCTCCCCTCCTCAAGAACCCCCAAAACTGAGGCCATATATTTAAAAATTTTGGAAGAGGCATCCTTGTCTATCATAATCATGCACTTAGTTTGTTTAAATAATCTCCAGTAGCAGAGAAGAAGTTTTTCAAAGAATCAATGCATTTTCACTATATAATCAATAGAGCCCCGCCCTAACACCAGAACCCCTGACCCTGGGGCCATGAAATTCACAATTTTTGAAAAGGCATCCCTATGCATTTAAATAGTCTCCAGTAGCAGAGAAGAAGATTTTCAAAGAATCAATGCATTTTCACTATATAATCAATACAGCCCCACCCTAACACCAGAACCCCTGACCCTGGGGCCATGAAATTCACAATTTTTGAAAAGGCATCCTTATGCATCATAACCATGCACTTAGTTTGTTTAAATAATACCAAGGAGCAGAGAAGATTTTCAAAAAATTAAAGCATTTTCACTATATAATCAATAGAGCCCCGCCCTAACACCAGAACCCCTGACCCAGGGGCCATGGCTTTCACAATTCTGGAAGAGGCCCACCTCCTCATCATAACTACGTACTTAGTTACTTTATTAAATACCCAGGAGCAAAGAAGAATATTTTCAAAGAATTAATGCTTTTTCACTATATAATTTATAGAGCCCCGCCCTAACACCAGAACCCCTGACCCTGGGGCCATGAATTTCACAATTTTGGAAGAGGCACTCTTGCTCATCATAACTATGTACTTAGTTCCTTTATTTAATACCCAGGAGCAGAGAAGAAGATTTTCAAAGAATTAATGCTTTTTCACTATATAATCAATACAGCCCCGCCCTAACACCAGAACCCCTGACCCTGGGACCATGAATTTCACAATTTTGGAAGAGGCACTCTTGCTCATCATAACTATGTACTTAGTAACTTTATTTAATACCCAGGAGCAGAGAAGAAGATTTTCAAAGAATTAATGCTTTTTCACTATATAATCAATACAGCCCCGCCCTAACACCAGAACCCCTGACCCTGGGGCCATGAATTTCACAATTTTGGAAGAGGCACTCTTGCTCATCATAACTATGTACTTAGTAACTTTATTTAATACCCAGGAGCAGAGAAGAAGATTTTCAAAGAATTTATGCACTTTCACTATATGATCTATATAGCCCCACCCTGGGGCCAGAACCCCTGACCCTGGGGCCATGAATTTCACAATTTTGGAAGAGGCACTCTTGCTCATCATAACTATGTACTTAGTTCCTTTATTTAATACCCAGGAGCAGAGAAGAAGATTTTCAAAGAATTAATACTTTTTCACTATATAATCAATACAGCCCCGCCCTAACACCAGAACCCCTGACCCTGGGACCATGAATTTCACAATTTTGGAAGAGGCACTCTTGCTCATCATAACTATGTACTTAGTAACTTTATTTAATACCCAGGAGCAGAGAAGAAGATTTTCAAAGAATTTATGCACTTTCACTATATGATCTATATAGCCCCACCCTGGGGCCAGAACCCCTGACCCTGGGGCCATGAATTTCACAATTTTGGTAGAGGGCTCAATGCTTATTACAATGATGCCAACAGTTTGACTGCTTCATGTCCGGGAGTAAAGAAGAAGATTTTTAAAGATTGCATTATTTTTGGTGGTTTTAGCCCCACCCCTCAGGCCCCGGGGGGGGGGGGGGCAGGGACCATGAAATTCACAATTTTTGTTCCCCTTCACCCATAGATGCTATATACCAAATTTGGTTGAAATTGGTTGAGCGGTTCTAGAGAAGAAGTTAAAAATGTTCAAAAGTTAACGCACGACGGACGACGCACGACGCACGACGACGGACAAAAACAGATAGCAATAGGTCACCTGAGTGACTCAGGTGACCTAATAAGATTGAAAGCAATGTAAACTGTGCTTCA